ATTGGATGAGATACGCATCGCCGAACAGGTAAGTCTCCAACCCCAAGGCTGGCCTCACGGTACTTGCATCGATAGATGAGCAAAATTGAATGAATCTTCCGCCAGGGCCGACGCGCGAACGAACGGGGGTGTAGGGGCGTGGGGCGAGTGCGTGGGCCGCGGGGGACTGAACCACGTTATCGGAGCGTTGCTTTGCGGGGATCAACGGTGGCCGTGTGTGTGTGTGTGTGTGTGTGTGTGTGAGAGAGAGAGAGAGAGAGAGAGAGAGAGAGAGAGAGAGAGAGATTAGATGACATACGCATCGGCGAACAGGTAAGTCACCAACCCCAAGGCTGGCCTCACGGTACTTGCATCGACGTCGACGAGGCAGGCAAGATCGGATTGGGAGAAGAGAGGGAGATGGTTGCATTTCATAGGGAATGGGGATCGGCGCGGGGGGGGTGAGGGGGGGGACGAATAATTTGTTTGCCAGTCTCCCTTTCCGCAAACGAAACGGGAACCATGTCATGCGTTCGACTGCTAATACTCGCTGCTGAAATGATCGACAAATTTTTGTTGTTGTCATTTGCTTTCTTTTTGCGTTGAGGGATCGACAAGTTTTGTTGTTGTCATTTGCTTCCTTTTTGTCTTTCTTACAACGTTCTTTACAACAAGACTAGACTAGACAATAAGTGCGAAGGAGGACGTAGGAGGAGGAAGGGAGGGAGGAGGAAGGAGGACATAGCAGGAGGAAGGGGGAATGAGGAAGCCGAGGGAGAAGGGCAGGGGGAAACAAGGGTGAGGAGAGGGGAGGAGGACGACGAGGAAGGGAACAAGAAAAAAAATAGCGTGCCAATGTGTCACGTGGTGCGCGGCAGAAGAAGAGAGGAGGAAGGAGGGGGGGGAGCAGCGAGGAGGACGGCGAGGATGAGAGAAAGGTGGGGGCGGATAAAGTTTCTTTGCCAGTCTCCCTTCCTGTACTAACCGGGAATCATTTTATGCGTTCGAGCGCTCATATTCGCTGCTTGAGTGATCGACAAATTTTGTTGTTCTCATTTGCTTCCTTTTCGTCGTTCTTAAAACCTTCTTTTTACTAAGCGATACGTGCGAAGGAGGACGAAGGAGGAGGGAGGAGGAGGAAGGAGGAAGGAGGAAGGAGGAAGCAGGAAGCAGGAGGAGGAAGGGGGAAGGAGGAAACAGGAGGGAGGAGGGAAGGGGAAGACGAGGAAGACGGAGGTCGATGTCAAGGAAGAGAACAAGAAAAATAGTGTGCCGATGTGCCACGCGGCATGACAGGAGAAGAGAGGAGGAAGGAGGAAGGAGGGGGAGGAGGAGCGAGAAGGATGACGAGGATGAGAGAAGGGTGGAAAAAAAATTGCGTGCCGATGTCGCCCGTGGCACACAACGGGAGAAGGGAGGAGGAGGAAGGAGGAGGAAGTAGGACGAGGGGAAATGAGGGAGAGGAGGAAAGAGGGGGGATGACGAGAATGAGGGAAAAATGGAAGGTAAAGAAATCGCGCGATGTTGTGCCACGTGGCACGCCACAGGAGGAGAGGGGAGGAAGGAGGATGAAAGAGGAGGGAGGGGGAAGGGGAGGAGGGAGGGGGAAGGGGAGGACGGAGGGGAAAGGCGGAGGACGGAGGAGAACGGAAGGAGGACGAGCGGCGTCGAAGAGGACGGAGAAGGAGGGAGGAGGATGAGGAGGATGAGAACAAGAGGACAAAGAATCACTTGCGGGTTTGCCATGTGGTACGTGACAGGAGAAGAGGAGTTGGAAGGGGTAAGGAGGGAGGAGGACGAGGGGAGATGAGGAAGGAAGAGGAGGGAGGAAGAGAGGATGACGAGAACAAGAACAAGATGGAAGGAAAAAAAATGCGTGATGGTTGGACACGTGGGACGTGACGGGAGGAGAGAGGGGAGGAAGGAGCAAAGAGGAGAAAGGAGAAGGAAGAAGGAGGGGGAAGGGGGAGGAGGGAGTAGGAGGACGGAGGAGGGACAAGAGGACGAGTACAAGATGAAAAAAAATCATGTGCCGGTTCGCCAAGTGGCACGCGAAAGGAGAGGAGGAAAAGGGCGGGAGGACGAAGGAGGAAGGGGGAGGACGGAGGGAGATGCGGAGGAAGGAGGAGGAAGGCGGAGGAGGAAGGACGAGGGAGAAGAATGAGAAAGACGAGAACAATATGAAATGCAGATCGCGTGTTGGTGTGGCACGTGGCACGCAACAAAAGGAGGGAGGAGGAGGAAGGAGGACGGGGAGGAAACGAGGAGAAAGGAGGAATAGGAAGACGACGAGGGAGGAGGATAACGTGGACGAGTTTGAGATCACAAAAAATATTGCGGGTCGGTATCGCACGTTGAACGTGACGGGAGGAGTGACGAGGAAGGAGGAAGGAGGAGGAGGAAGTTGAAGTTGGGGGAAGGCGGAGGAGGGAGGGAGGAGGACAAGGGAAGATGAGGAAGGAAGAGGAGGCGGAGGGAGAATGACGAGTGCGAGAACAAGATAAAAAATCGTGTGCCGGTGTACCACGTGGCATGCGACGGAGGAGGAGGTTAGAGGAGGGAGGAGGAGGAAAGAGGAGGGAGTTGGAGGAAGGAGGGAGGACGACGCGGGAACACGAGGCGGAAGGAGGGGAAGAGGATGACGAGGACAAGAACAAGAAAAAAGAATCACGTGTCAGTGTGCCACGTGGCAAGCGATTGGAGGACAGAGTGGACAGGAGGATGGAGGAAGTAGGAGGATGGAGGAAGTAGGAGGATGGGGGGGGGGACGAGGAGGAATGAGATGACGAGGACCACAACAAGATGGAAATAAAATGGTGTGCCGGTGTGCCACGTGGCGCACAACCGGAGTAGAGAGGAGGAAGGAGGTAGGAGGAGGAAAGTTTGGAAGGAGGAAGGAGGATGGGGAAGACGAGGAGGAATGTGCCACACGGCAACACGGCGGGAGTAGAAGGTTTGCGGGGATCAACGGTGGCCCTGTGTGTGTGTATGTGTGTGTGTGTGTGTGTGTGTGTGTGTGTG